TCAGCAGGATTTCATCTCTTTGAAGAACTTCCTTGAAAAAATAGGAAAATGTATTTTAACTGTCAACTTTGCAAGAGATACCAAAAGGAGTTTAGACAATCCTTGTGAAAACTTATAGTTGAACAAGCCAAATTGACAAAAATACATATTTTCCTAAGATGGCTGTTTTATTTCTTGGCAACTTGGTGGTTTTGTACTTTTAGTATTAGTCACATAGTGTGAAATCACACTCATTTAAGAGCTGATGAGCAATCAACATTTGTCATGATCAGTCATGGGGTTTTTTGCATAAGGGACTATACATCCTAGGCCTGAGACGTAAACACACTTTCGCTTTGAACAGAAGTCAGTTTTGAAAAGATTTTTGTCTTATCCTAGACGTCAGCAAATAAATGGATATTCTTTTCATCCTAGCTTTTGACAGATTATTTTTAGTTATATGGGAATATGGAATAAGTTGCAGAACTGTAAAGCAGTCATACACCAAAATCAATATTCTGAGGCACAAGACATCCATAATGGTCTGATAATTACAATATGAAACTATACTATCAGTCAATTTACAATAATGCTTCCTAAATGCCTACTAAAGCAGTCCAGACATACCCGAGACTTCAAAAACCGTCTAAGAGCAGCTTTGAATACAGGTAATTCCCGGTGAGTGTGAAGACTTGCATGTGCATCCCTAACCTGCTCGAGGCTGAAACCCCTCACTGCTGTGCCTCTCAGGCCTCCCAGAAAGGTGCTTTTCATCCAAAGAATCGATTCCCTCTTTGTTTGCCAGATTTGTCCTTTAGACAAATACAGCTACATTCACAGAGACAGGCATGTCTTTTGCTAGGTAAACTTGGAGCTGCGGAAGAGAGAGGGGATTAAAAAACCCAGAAAACACCAAAGAAACAGGGAAGCGCCTAACAGCCAAGCTTTCACGCGCAGAAGGCGTCGTTAACTCAGCCTGGATCCTCGCACTTCTGCCTTGGCTGAGTGGCCGAGCTCCAGAAGCTCCGAGCGTTCTGGATTTTCTTGCAAGGGATAAGGAGAAATAAAACCTAAGGCACAGAGGAAGAAGGGGAGAGATATTCAAGGTTACCTGAGAAGGAAGCAGATTTGACATTAGCTGTTTTGCTTAGAAGTACTTTCTTTTGTGCAAGTCTACAGCAGAGTTAGGTCATTCAGACCAACAGCCTTGTTTCAGACACGGCGTTGACTGCCGTGCAAGTTTCATGACTCTTTTCCCTAGCAGCATATAAAAGAAAAAAGGCTGCTAGAAGTGGTAGCAAAATGTTACAGAAGCCTTTTCTAATTTAACAGAGGTTAAATTATTTCCCATTTATGCGTAGAAATTAAGAAAATCACCACCAGCAAGTATCATGTCTCGCTGCTTGTAGTAACGATTCACAACATAAATAAGTTTAAAATTCACCATCTTACAGGCACCTTCCCCCCCCCGTCCCCGAACAGAAGTGAAGCCACCCAGAACGAGCAGTTGAATTAGACTGAGACACACCAATAAAGCAGTCGGGAGACAAGCTGATTTTACACTGACTGGTCCTTGCAATGTCAGACCAGCTCTAAGCACACATCAGTTCTGCACAGTGATTGTGCAAGTTTCAGCAATATGAATTCTTATACCTGCTGAAGACTTGAGCCAAGATACCAGGCATGTAAAAGCACATAAGATTTGGCATATGTTTTAAGAACATAATAAAACAGGATATATATTTCTGTTTAAATGCTTAACTGCATAAATGCATACTTACCTATTACCTTTCCCATTAAACCAAGTAGTCTCTGCCAATTGCTCTAACTAGGCACAGCTTCCTCAGTAAAGGAATGCACCCAGCTAGATGCTTCGTACAGTAAGGTATAGATATATAGAGATATATATACACACATGTACATTTGACATATACAGTTTAAGAGTTATGAACAAATGATACTAATTCCTACCTGTAACATGGAGACTGATGCATACTAAGGAAGCGGGGGAGAGCATCTTTTCAAATATCTTAACGTGCAACTGCTCATTTAATGAAAATGGAGGACGGGGAGGGAACCAGAGGGGAAGACCCACAGTCATTCAAGCCTGCGGGTTTTGAACCACAGTTCATAGCAGTTTTGGGGAACTTTCCCAGAGGGACAGAAGATATTTATTCAACTCAATGCTAACGTTCCCTTTATAAAACTTTGAAACTGCCTGGCTTTCTGCTTTACCTGAGGGCATCTTCTGTCCAATTCAGTGGATCTATTCACACGCAGAAAAGCATCAAGAAAAGTTTCCTGCAGATTTGTAATTCTGAAGGAATCTCTGATACTGTGACAAACACTGCCAAATAAAACACTGTTCTCTCACTGTGAGATATGACACCTCACATCAATATTTGTATCCTCCTGAAGCAGAACACACTACTGCAACACCTTTAAGTTGTGAGTGATATCTCTATTAAGGCATGTAGTATTGGCTTGTTTCTTCGGTCCAGCTGTATTATATGGGCTGAACTTGCAAGTCTCCACATGGTATTTCATAATTTAATACAGTTATTAAGCAAGCTTTGAGGAAGCCATGTTTAATTACTACAGTAACTATGGATTATCTCATGTCCAAGTTTAATACAAAAGCCATTTTCAAATTCAGTAAAGACTTACACCACCTGCATGGTTTCAGGCGACTGAGTTAATATGCCTTCAACTATCAAGTTTGAAAAACTCAGCAAAGTGATGCCATTTTTCTCCAAACCAAATGCTTCTAAAGCACTTGTTGAAATCATAAGCTCAGTGGTCTCTGTTTGTGGGGGTGACGCTGGAATGTCCTTAACACCCCCTGCCCCGACGCTCCCCTTTTTAAGGGTTTGAGAATCTGAAAAGGATAGTGTGTAGTAGGTAAGGTCACTTGCGGGAAGGCCGAGTCTTGTCAGACACAGAAATGTACTCTCTTCATGTTCAGCAACTTGCTTGGTTCAGGTCTACAGAAAATAACTGAGTTACTGGTAGGTGTCTTCCCCTGGCTCAACCAATGCGAACACATTCCAGGAACAAATCAATCTTTCCCCCCTTCTCTACCTCCCTGCTAGTTCAGGTTTCTTCCCCAGGACCAGCTTGTGAAAGTAAACATTTGTCATTTTATAACAAAGTCATATCCTGCACTTGATCTATCCCTTTCCCCTGAAAGTCTCATAGGAATAAACCTAATTATATACACTTTAAAATGAATGTGAGTACTTGAAGAAAAGAACACCATCCCATTTTGTATTATCTTTTGTTATTAAGAAAAGCCAAGAGGAAACCCTTGGTAAGAGTGGAGCATATTAATTATGACAAGACATCGTGACATACCAGTGGAGATTTAAAGGCCGCTAATAACACTTTTTGTAGCAATTAGTGCAAGATAGTTATCCCATATAAACAAATATTTGATGGTAGGCTTCAGTGATAAACAATTCACTTGATGACATTTACATATAAATACATATAAATAAAAACCTATGCAATTTAGGTTTGTAGTTAACAAAAAATATGCTTTGAAATGAATTAAATGTAATTGTACTAGTTGGATCAAAGCTCTTCCTCTAATGATACTCAAGTACATGGGGTATGAAAAGAATAATTGTACAATTCTCAATTTAGTAAAGTACTACTCTATAAAACAGAATCATGAAAACAGCTTTTACATTTTAATGTAAAGTATAAAATCAGATATTTACATTTACATACACTTTACTGAACTACATTGGGTAGCTCACGGTAAAAAAACATCCCTTTGAAAATCTTTCAAAAAATACATCAACTGCAGATACGATCAAAAGTTACTAAGTTAGCAGCTGACATCACATCTGTAGTAAAAATATATTTTAGGAAAATACCTGGAAAAATCTAAACACCAATAAACACTTTAAAACTATTTTTTGAAGTAAAAATTGTAGCAAAAACCAGAATAAGCTAGCTAGCATAACAGGAACTATTGCATACTGCTCTTTAAGAGCCATGTAGCGACTTAGAACGGAAGCAGCAGGTATGGTAGGAGTTATGTGGTGTTAACAAAGTGGAAACTGGAGGAAAATAGAAAACCAGTTATCCAACTTGTCTCTATGTTTATTACCATTTTTACTGGCAGAAGTATAAGAAAAAGATGAGAGACTCCCTCTCACTGAGCATATCCTCCATCAAAGGCTAGAACAAATTGGTAAAAGGAACCCAATTTCAAGAGCCTTGGACCCCAAACTTAAAAACATTTACCGTATATACTTACAGTTCAATGGACAATAAATTGGATTATTACACTACAAGTTGCAGGTTAACTTTAAGAGTTAACACTATTTTGCAATATGAAGTGCTTTTTTAATATATATATCTATATAATATATAGATACTTGTAAAATACACGTGCAGATTTGACAGAAAAAACTGTGGAAATAGCTTTCTTGAGTCTTTTTTTCCCAATTAACAGATCTTTATCTCCTGCACAAGGAGTTTCAGGATTCAACAAGGATTTCTACAATATGATCAAGCTCATTAAGATCAGATTTACAATTGGAGTTAGAAGTTGCAGTTGTTGGAGAAGAAAACGTTTCAAGCCCATCACAGTGTCCCATTTTTGTGTTGTTCATCATGCCTGTTAACATAGTATCAAGATCGTAGTAAGAATTGTCTACTTCTGAAAATAGATCTTCAACCGAATTAGGACTTTTATTCTCCAGTGTCTCAAATATTTGATCTAAGGATTTTTGAAAGTTTCCTTTATTTTCTTGTGGATTCTCCATTTCCCACACATTGCTCTGCAGGTTTCTTGGAGCTTGCACTGAAGAGGCTGTTGACATAGTCTCTGAACTATCTTGTGCCTGGTCACCCTCAAAGTCTTTATTGAAAGTACTATAACCTGGAACATGCTTTCCCTCAGCTTGTTCTCTAGATGAGCGACAGAGGATGTCTGTTGAAACAAGACGATCCAGGGATGCCTGCCCCGTACTCTGTGTATTTATCATCTGCCAAGTCCCATCCTGAGTCATTTCCTCTTGGATCTGCCGTACCGTGTTGGCTATAAGTACCGAGCGACAAAGGTTAGGTTCAACCAGCATGTGACACAGCTGAAGTTTAACCAAGGACATATCTAAAAGTGACTGCCGCTGAAGATTATATGAAGGAATAGCCTTAATACCAGCCAGAGTTCCTTCAATATCTTCTTCACCATCAAAACATTTTCTCTTTAATCCTCGCACAAACATTGTGTCCTGTTAAAAGCAAACAGAAAATTCTTGTACAACATAAACAGCTCAAGAAGGAGGTGAAAAAAATACTAAAAACTAAAACATAAAAACTTAAATTTTAACAGCAAATTCTTTTAAGATAGAAACATCAGAATTGTCATACCAGGTTATAGAATGGCCAGTGTGGTACAACAGGGGTCAGGAACATACGGACTTGGTCCCAAAGACGGCACTCGGGAACCAGGGGTGAGCAGGTCCACAAGGCATGGCATTGGAGAGAGGCAGAAGCTCCCAGCTCCTGTCTCCCATTAAGTTCCACACTTGATGGAAGTCAGAAGCCGCTGCTTCGCACAGAAGCAAACATCTCAACAGCTGTATTTCACCTATTGGAGAGGCAGTTTCTCCTCGCTCCTCCCGAGTTTCTACTGGCATGCTTAACCTCTAATTTTGGAAATAAAAATACAACCTGGCACACCATCTTTAAAAGATTTGACCCCTCCAGAACATCAACATGCCTAACAGAGTAACATGAAAAAAAATACCATGGGCAGCATACTTGAAAAGGTTAGCTTATTTTATCTACAGAGAGAATAACATCTAGATTTGGAGACATTCAACCGAGGTGCATAAAACAATCCTTTCAGTTCCCTTACTCAGGTGAGTCAATGAACTGTGTAATTCCAATATGAGTCATGCAAGTCCAATAAGGATAGGCACAGTCCTCTGCTGTATGGGCTTCTGTACTTCTTTCTCAGTTGACTATAAGAAAGCAAAATTCCCGTATTCCTAGTTTAGGTTCACCAGCTAAAATTAGGTGGGGTGCAACTAGGCTTCTCGTTATTTATATCTAGAAATCATTTGCTGAATTTTCCAAGGTATGACTTTCAAGCAGTAGCCTCCAGATCTTATTCTGAATTGAACCAATTTTGACAACAGTGCCCCACGCAAATATTGCAGCTGATCTCTTGAAATACAAAGTAACTGTTTTGGGTTGGGGTGGGTTTTTTTGTTTGTTTGTTTGTTTTTGTTTGTTTTGTTTTGTTTTTTTTTAAATGCAGTAGATGCCACTTCTTTTAATCTTAGAAAAATTAGGCTGCAAATGAAAGCTAGTACCTGATCTTTACATTTATGCACCTTTGTCACATCCCTTAGGTTTTCTGTCCTTAGAATTCCTGTTTACCCAACATTTGCGCAGTTTTTAAATACAGTAACCCAAGCAAAACAAAGTTTTTCAAATAAGAGCTGATAAAACCAAAATACTATCACAGTGTCTTTCTATATTATTTTCCATTCCCCTTGGTAAGCCCTAACCTCTGCCTTGCTTTTCTGGTTGCTAAGGTATGCTCCACACATTTTCACAGAGCTCCCACTCTCAGCTTTTTCAGAGTCAATAAAATTCCACCAAAGTGAAACAACGTTGTTCTTTTGAAAATACATTACATAATTATCTACCCTGAAAAGCTGGGGATAGCACAGTAGCTAGATAAACATTTGGTCTGGCTCTGTACAATACTTCTTACACTGCCGTATATAGCCATGAAATAATCACCTTTTTTGGATCTGCTGTTGAAGAGTTCTTTCCATTGAAGGTACAAAACTCTTTAGAAATTACAGTATACAGAAATCATAATATGTAGAGACTAGAATATATGAACTTATTCTTACAGTCACTTTCAATAAACTTCTTAAAAGCTATCTATGGATTAACAATACATTAAATGGTTTGGAAGTTTCTTTTAAAATTTTCTCCTATAACCTAACATATTTGCATTATTCTCAGGTTTTGCTTGATAGGGCCTTTTCTAGATTTTTAGATATTCTTGCAACTTCCTATTGGAGGATATCCCATTTAATTTTTCCTACCAAGTTGTATGTACAGTAATTTCTAAAGACACACCTCCCATGTGAAACTTGACCTCCGGAGACATCTTTTGGGACTACTAATCAACCACGTATGATTACGTCATCAAACATTAAACACTCTGTGCACAGTTTGAAGCTTCTTTTATTTCAACTTATATTCTTGAGAAGAATAATTAAAACTTCAATTGAACGTTACCCTGGTTTTCATGTATCTACTATTCTAAGGCACATCAACAGAAGAACAGAACACAGCTGAAAACTTGAAAATCTTAATACATCACACACACACGGGTGTGTAGAAACAGAGGAAAAAAATGTTTATAGATTCTTAAAGGTAAACTTTTCACAGCATTCACTGGATTTTCTTTCTATAACACTTCCAATTAGTATCTTACATCATAAAAACAGTTCTTTGTCACCCTGTTCCTGACACTGCACAAAATACTAGGTTAGTTTCATTTAATAAACAACAACAACAACAAAAATACATACCAGTAATTGTGTTTGATGTAGTCCTTCCTCTTCTCCCATACTACTGAACAAGAGTCCATACAGTAAAAGTTAGGGCACCACCTACCAAGTACCGGGAAGCAAGACGTCAGCAAAGTACAGGAGATGCAGAACAAAATAGTTTCCCATTTCAGAAACTTCCACACCTCTCTTCAATTGCTTCAGTATCTCTATTCTCACAACGTTCCTACAAAGTTGAATAGTACTATGAAACCCAATTTACAGCTAGAGGACAAAGGTGATTTGCCCAACAATACACGCAAAATCTGGCAGAAGGAAACTGCCAGTTCAAGTCCAAGTCCTAGGCTATTACCCTGACCCTTGGACCAGCCTCTCCCTTATCCCTCCGCCTCTGTCATTTAAAGAGCAAACAAAATCTTTAGCGATCATTTTAGAAACTTAAACGCGCACAAAAGCATACTGAAAGCAAGTCTTCATTACTTTTATCACAAAACTATACAGTTTTCACCTTTGTTGTACAAAACCACATATCTCTGTAGCATCTAGAGAAAAAGAGCAAGCATGCACAAATACCAAACTGAAACATAGCAAAACCAGGGAGAATTTTCCTTTACCAGCACAGAAACTTTATGACTAAGATTTACTTTGCAAGATGACAATAATGAAAGTAATAACAGTAATTAAATTGTTTTAATTATAAAGGCCGAGTTTATAAAACACATTTAAGACAAAATAAGATTTGATATACCAAATACAACTACCAAACACATGCAACAATTCCTTTAATTACCGAAACCTAAAAGAATGCTCCCTTTCAACAGGATACAAAAACTTATATGATAAAATATGAAAACAATTCAGATACTTTTCTAGATATGTCTGTACAATACAAGACAGTTCAGTGTCTACAACTGAAGTACATGCCTAGAAAAGAAACAAGTAAAGAGGATGCATATGGACATCTATAATTGTCTTCTATTGTGGCTGGTAATAAAAATTTTTTTTGAGTACTTACTCCCAAAATTTGTGGGGAAGGAGATGGTTGACAAAGGACTTGGGGGGTGGGAGGAGCAGAAAACATGTTTTTCTCAGGAAAATGCATACTTGTTAAAACACCACAACAAAACCCCCCACCTTAAATACTCTCAAGCCAAAATCTTTTGACATGATTCCAAAATATTCAGACTAAAATGCTGTTATGTCATGGAAACTGTATTTCTACCAACTCCTAGTCTCATTCTCTTTTACAGACTGAGCTCACAGCAACATTCAAGACAGGGTCATGAGGCATATGAACTACAACTCCAGTGAAACACCATCGTATCAAGTCAATAAAGTATTTCTTATTTCTATCAAACACCTTGTGATGCTATAAAAGTTCAGAAGTTTTTGCTCCCCGGATACACTTTCAAAACATGCTGTAAATGAAGTGCAATCTCTTTGAGAGCCTGTATATGGTAACTATTTGAATCCCCAAATTCCTACTAGATATTATGCTTTTAGTTTAGGGTAGGTGACAAGGGCATAAACTTCATTTGAAAAACCCCAACCAAACAAAAACCCACAGAAAATCCCACAACAGCTACAGATAGAGATGATGCAGTCACAAGAACAATAAATGAAAAAATTTTCTGCTGCTATTTTAGATATGTGACAATTTTAGAGGAAGAGGCTTTGGCCGTTTGCCTCCCAAAATAGCAGACTGATACAGCGTTGATGGGAACGCACAAGTTCTTGGTAAAAGAGCCACTATCACGTACACAAACTAAAAGACATAGGGGATGTTGGCAGACCAGTCCAGTCTGTAATCTATTAGCATACTAAAGGAAAGAGTTTTCCCATGCAATATAATAATGCGTAAGACCTGCTGCATGTGATTCCAGGTTCTTCCCTAGAGCAATAAACAAACCATGTGGACCTGTAAGTATATAGAATATGCCCATCACGGCAATTATTTCTTCAGATTCTATTAACTGGCATACAAGTGTGCCTCAGAACCTAAGTTCCCAGTAAAAAAAAAAAAAAATTAACTTCATAGCCATTATTGAATGCAATTAAAATCTTGCAAATAAACAACCTTCCCCAGATTTCCCTGCACTATGTCCAACAACCACTCATGAGAATGATAAATTTAAAACCTAATTAATTAAAATGTAAGTATGTTTCTCTATTGATTTACATACTAACATCCTCAAAACAGTATTACCATTGTGTAAAACCTCTTGGTACGTGACAGCAAGATTGCTGCTGCTTTAGAAGCAAGATCGTCAAAATTCCCTGATAATTTCAAGCAGCATCTCTCTCTGTCCAAGAAGCAATATCTAGACTAGCTATATTATCTCCCTTCTTCCACTACCCTCCGAGTGTCAGGATCCCAAACTTAGCACGTTAAACTTAACTGCTGTTTGAAATAGCTGTTCAAAAAAAAAAAATCTGTCATGGAGACAACAGCTATCTGTAACACGATACAGTATGAAAAAAGGACGTTTTGTGAATTTTGCTGGGTTTTTTTTCTTTGTGTGTTTTTTTTGGTTTGTTTTTTTTTTTTTTTAAATAGTAGCAGAGTATTATACAATTCATTACAAGTTTTACTTTTGGGATTGACAAATTCCCAGTCTGCTTTACAAATAAGGTGCTTGAAATTTGATCCAATTCTTACTAGAGCATCAACTTACACATTCCAGATTCACAGTCATTTCAGATTCACGTATTAATATGCTGCCAAAAATACACTCAAGTACTTAAAGGACAAAGATGCTTCCTAAGAGGTGAGGTAACAGAGAAGATAGGAGATTTTTAGCACTGTTCATCTTTAGAAGAAAGAAGACAAGAACTACCTAGGCCAGTGCTGGAGGTTCACTTATGCAAGGTGCTTTTTCTTTTTGTACAGCCACAAGCAAAGTGATGACACTTAGCACGGGAAGGTACGAAGGTACTGTATCTCTCCTCTACCACTCTAAGCCGACCCCTGCTCTAAAACTGTTCCTCACAACAGCTATGGGGAAAAAAAACCTCAAAGGTATGTGTAATGGTGAAAACAAGATGGAAAGGCAGTACTCCTCTTTAGCCATGCATACGTGCATACGGTTGTGTTGAGTCGTCAGGTGGGCTGCAGACACAGCAGAGGGCTGGTAGGGCCAGAAACATCCCTATTCGGACCGGGACAAAGGCACCTATAAAGCACTGGCGTTTGGTCCACCCCCCGGACGCAGGGGACTGGCAGGCACCTCTGCAGGACAGGAGGGCTTCAGGAAGGGGCATTACCTCCCGCGGACGGGTAGGCTGGGAAGCAG